AGAAAGCAATAGTCGTAAGTTCTGTCAGTTCTTTGTATATTAAGCAATTAATAATAGGGTGTTTTGAGACATTATTTTGTACCTTCTTTGAAGTGCAGTTATAGGGTGTAGCTTCTGAGCTAATGATACAAGTGTACGCTCACCCACTACCTGCTTGTTTTTCTTTGTAGTAATATCAGTTTGCATATCTACAGTATACTTATTTCATGGTCTCCTGTGTAAGTGCCTGAATATATTTACCTGCTGATTATATGTCAATCGATTAAGAGTTTTGTATTATGTGTTTTTCTAGTTTCACTCCAGTTCAATGATGTCAGTGCAAGATGATTGCTATGTTTGGAGTCATTAAAGGAGCAAGTACGCTCACCTTCCTGGCTCTTGAAAAGGAGTTTGGCTGGCTGTTTATCTATGTTCACACTCAGGGAGTTTAACACATAGAGAGAACAGTACACATACACTCAAAATATAACATGATCATTTTAACCGGTGATTTTAACCTGCACATAGATAATCCTTCTGACTGTACATCAAAAGAATTCTTAAACATTCTTCACTGTATGGATTTTACCCAGCACGTCACGCAGCCGACTCACAACAGAGGACACACTCTGGACCTGGTCATCACCTATGGGCTGTCCAACAGTGTGTCCTCTGTTGTTGATTTGGCTGTCTCTGACCACTACGGTGTGTTTTTTAACATCACCGGTTTTATTCAGCGCGAGACCTCGGTGCAAACTGTGAGGAGGCGCTATCTAACCTCTGTAGTGGCTGCAAATTATACCAGGGTTTTAGACTGGATACATGCACCTCATGTGTTAACCTCTTCGACATGTAAATGGCTGTGAACAAAGAGAAACTTGTAAATAACTCATGAAAGAATAAAGTTACGTTGAAACCAAGCACACCATTGTTTTTCTTGTGACATTACCAATAAGTTTGATGTGTCACATGGCCCTCTTCCTATTGAAAAAACAAAAGTTGTATCCAAGATGGCCGACTTCTAAATGGCCACCATGGTCACCACCCATCTTGAGGAGTTTGCCCCCTCACATATACTAATGTGCCACAAACAGGACTTTAATATCACCAACCATTCCCATTTTATTACGGTGTATCCATATAAATGGCCCACCCTGTAGATAACCAAACTAAAACCTGACATTACAAAGAGTAGGCATGCAGAGGTGTTGAACTCCACTCCTGGAGGGCTGGTGTTCTGCAGGTTTTAGATAACACCCTGGGTCAACACACCTGAATCAAATAATTAGTTCATTTCCAGGCCTCTGGAGAACTTCAAAAAATGCTGAGTAGGTAATTTAGCCTTTAAATAAGCTGTGTTGTATCATGGACACAACTAAAACCTGCAGGTCACTGGCCCTCCAGGCCTGGAGTTCCACACCTGTGGCATAGAGCAATTACAACTATAATAAGAAATAAAACCTGGAACACAATCTTAACCTCAGAACATTAAAGAAACCAGAAATAAAAGACCAAACACATAAACATTGTGCCACAGACCCACTGGGACCCAGACCCAAACTCAACTCAGATTAGAACTACTTCTACTTAAAAATATTTATGTTAGAAAATTAGTTGTAATAAGTGACTGGCACCTACAAACACAGTCAAGAGGCTTAGCTGTTCAAGCCAAATTTAAGAGATAAGGGACTTGAGATTTGTTGTGCCCAAAGATCTGGTTCCAGTATTCTAGAAACATTTAATAATTTGGGATTGACACAACAAAACAAAATTAAAAGGGAGTGGCAGCTGTCAATGGCAGATATTAACTTTTGCTGGTTAGCGAAGATTATTAAAAATTGGTTTGAGCTAAGGTGAGAGGGGGGCAAGAGAGCGATGGACAGACTGGTGCTGCAGCCGCAATAATGCAGTCGTGGTTAAAAGATAGCTGAGCGTAAAAGTGATGCTCTTGAATTACCAGTCAATCTATGTCCCTACGCTCACCTATGGTCATGAGCTTTGGGTAGTGACTGAAAGAACAAAATTGCAGATACAAGTGGTGGACATGAGCTTTCTCCAAAGGGTGGCTGGCCTCTCCCTTAGTGAGTGAATGGGTTAAATGCAGAGAGGTAGTTGTAGTTGTAGTTGTTGTTGTTGTTGTTGTATACAGGATGAGAGGTAGGGATGGGTATCTATGAGATTTTCACGATTCCGATTCCATTTTTGATTCTGTTTAACAATTCGATTCTTTATCGATTCTCTTATCGATTCTTTTAAAAAAGGAGAACACTAAGGTCGAATAGCTTAGAACTTTGTTTTATATCTTCTCTTTGAACAAGATAGAAATTTAGGAGTAACATGGCCTTACAAACCCAACAGTGAGATCTTAAGAGATCCACAGCCTACGGCTCTTCAATGGGGTGTCACAGGGTCCCCAGGAAAAAAAATTGTAAATGTAAAATAACAAAATAAATATTCTTCTGTAGCAATAACAAAGTATAACATAAATTATTCTGTAGCAATTACACAAGAATATCCAGTAATGTCCCTGCCTACAATTAAACACATTCACTTACCGAAAATCAGGGCATCTGCTGTGGCAAATGGGTGCAAACCTTTTACCACAAACTGAGTCACTGCTCAGTAACATTCGTCTATCCTGGCCTGAAAGGAGATGCTACCGGTAGACTGCAGTGAGAACTGCCAGCATCTGAGCCAGCCAGACTCTGTCTGTCTCTCTCATCATGGTCACCTAAATGCACAGTAATAGCAGGTTTTGTAATAAGGCAGATCGCGCTAACACAATATGCACTGTTAGTTGATTATTTACCTGCCGCATTAACGGGAGAGGACGTGCCAACGTTACCGCTGCTGCTGGGTTGAGATTCACAAGTCGAGCGGAATTAAAAACATGACATTCATTTAAGGTTATCGTGTGTTTTGTGAGCAAATGCTTTTTCATATTCGTAGTGTTTCCTCCCTTAAATGAAATATCTACTTGGCAAGTATTGCAAGTTGCCCTGTTGTCATCCGTTCTCGTAAAGTATAATCAAACTTTTGAGCGTTTGAGCCGCCATGTTTCCTGCCAGGTAAATGACGCTCCGCAACGTGGTGACGTCATTCGGGGCGACTGGAATCGATAAGGGAATTGTTTTACAAAAATGGCAAACAATTCCAAGGAATTGAAACAGTGGGAACCAGTTCTCAACAAGGTTTTCGATACCCATCCCTAGTGAGAGGTTTGGCCATCTGGAAGGGGCTCCGATTATCTTCTCCACATCGAAAGGATGCAGTTGAGGTGGTTTTGGCCCACCAGAAGAAGAATCTGGGGCAGACCCAGGACATGCTGGAGAGAATATACCTTTTGGCTGACCTGTTAATGCCTTGGTGTTCCCCTGATAACCTAGAGGAGGTCGCCAGGGAGAGGCAGGTCTGGCTTTCTCTGCTTTGGCTGCTGTCCCTGCAGCCCGGTATTAGGTCTGCACTTGCAGGCTTTGCTTTGTTCACCGTGAATAAAGCAAGATAATTAGACCTCAATCCATTTTAACTTGCAAGGGAAGCCGGTCTGGTCAGGATCTTGGAGCTGCAAGCTCCCCACCTGATCCCAGCCAACTCCAGTCTCCCCTCCCATTGTAAAACCCATATGGTGTGTCATAAAAGTTAAGGCACTGTGTGTGTGTGTGTGTGTGTGTTTGTGTTTGTATATGTAACTTCCTGGTTACAACTGTTTTAACAACATCCCTAGTCATAAAAGGGTCATCTCCCCTCACCCTGTATATGGCTTAACCCCCTTTAATGGTCCACCATATAAAAGGTACAGGGGAGCCCATAAACGGCAGGAAGTAAACATTCCTTACTAAATAGGAAACCAGAATGTTACCTGCAAGTGTGCCTGCAGTTTAAGACAAGGTTCACAATTTTAAATGCAACAATGACAACTTTTAACAAAATCACTCCAACACCCAGCTCCAGAGAAGTGGAAGAAAATGGATGGATGGATGGTTTTTGCTACCAAAACTATTACAGTAACTCAAATATTCAGGCTCTATAACAATGGCAAATTTCTGGTGACAAGATCTCAGACAAATCAGGCTGGTGGGGTCAGAGTGTAGCCCTATTGTAAAGGGTCTAACAGAAAAAAACAACAACAACAGAATAAGAGTGTGAGGCTTCTTTTTAACCACAGTGGTGTGTAACATGTTTTGTTTCAATTTTAATTTTCTTCTTATCTGCTTCCTCATCAAGAGCCTTGCTGCTGTACTACTTTAGCACTTTAATATGTTGGTCTACCTTTTTATGCTCTACACAGCATTAGAGATATCATAAATCAACACCATTTTTATGATCTGTGTTGGATTTTATGTTTTCATATTTAGTTGTATTTATATAATGTTTACATGTTTTCAGCAAGAAATACTTTCTTTTGAACAGAATACTGGGGTTTCTGCATTTATTTATGTAAATAAATGTAACTTTTGATTGAGTCTGTTTTGATTAGATGGCTTTGAAAAAAAAAATACATTCAACATTATTTTATTTCATTTCAATGTAGAAAAAAGTGATTGCTCAAGCTTTTTGCTTTTTTTTCTTCACAGTGTGGCTTTCATTAGGGTGGTACTCTAGCTCAAAGACGAGACAAAATATCAGATATCTCACGAACATCACACGTTTTTCACCACAGTGCAGTTCAACAGAAGACCTGAGATAGAGGTAAGTTCAGAGGAATGTAACATGCGTATAGACAGCTATTTGTCAGGTTTAATTTTGATGAAGTTTCATTTTTCATGTGACAGTTTGTTGCACAAGTTAACTTTGAATTTTTTGTTTCATAATGTGGTTTTTGTTAAGGCAGAATATCTGAATTAATGTGAAACAAAAGGAGGAACTATTAGTTTTCCGAAGAACATTGTACAGCTTTTGTGCTGAATCACAGGGCAATTCAGCAGAAGACTTGACAGTTGATGTTTGAGGTAAGTTGCTGTTTTTGTTTTCTGAAATTTGATACTTTTTTAGTCACTTTGGTTTTATATAATATACAAAAATTAGAACCAAAATCAACAGTTTCTGTCACTTTAGAGAAAACTGCTCAGTCATTGTGTTTGATTGCATTTTATTTTATATGTATGTTTTCCAGAAAATTGAAAATGGCAAACTTCACATCCACATCCAGAACGAGTGGTCTTGTTGAATACATGTGTGATACTAATGTTCCCACCATCACTGGTCCCCTTTTCATCTTGATCTTCATCCTCAGTATCATATGCAACAGCCTCCTCTTATGTGTTCTTTTCATCTACGAGAATCTGAAAAGTATCACAAATATTTTCATCCTGAACCTGGCCTGCTCTGATTTGATCTTCACCATCACACTTCCATTCTGGGCCGCTGATCACCTACACAACTGGGTCTTTGGGGACTTTGTCTGCAAAGTTATCACTGCTGGATTCGCTGTTGGTTTGTACAGCAGTGTCATTCTGCTGACTGCTATGACAGTGGATCGTTTTACTACTGTTGTACTGCACAACTGGCCGATCAGCCATGTCAGAGTGAAGAAGTGTGCAATTGGTGCCTGTATAGCTGCCTGGGTCATCAGCATCTTAGCGTCCCTGAGTGATGCAATGAAAGTAAAGGTTGAAAGCTGGGAAGGTAAAAACTTTTGCTATGATGAATCTGAAGACACGCTTGGACATTATCTCCAAGTGTCACTGCTATTCTTCCTCCCATTTGCCATCATTATTTTCTGCTACTCTGCCATCCTCATGAAAGTTTTGCAAGGTTTAAACAGAAGGAAGTTCAGGACTGTGGCTGTGCTGTTGTGTATTGTTGCAGCCTTTTTCATTTGCTGGGGGCCATACCATATTATGCTTTTAATCAAGTCTCTCAATACAAACAATGATTGTAAGGTACTGAAACGGTTAGCAGTTGCCTACCATATCTGTGAAATGCTTGCCTATTCTCACTGCTGTATGAACCCTCTGCTATATATGCTCTCGCAGAAGTTGCGAAAGCATCTGTTGAGTCTTTTGCGCTGTGAAAAAGTGAACAGGAAGAAGAGAGAGAGAAGCACCAGCCTGAACACTTCACAACAATTCACACTGCAGAGCTCTGCTGTTTAGATGGAACTGCACAACTATCCATTTAACAGTCACTAATAAAATTAAACCTTGATTCAGGCTGATACAGTCATAGTACTTTGATGTGTAAGTGTATTAACTCATTCATTGAGGCAAACAGAGAGCAGTAATTAAATCTAATTACTGCTCTCTGTTTTCCTCAGTTGGACTGTAAAAGTCCAACTGAGGAAAACTTGGACTGTCAACTTGGACTGTAAAAGTAAAAATAGCTGGTGTATTTTTACTTATACCTTTATTTTAAAGTAGACAAATTACTTTTTTAATTAACAAAAAGTGTAAAGGTTGGGATAAACATGCTTTAAAATTATTGAAATGCTGACACTGATGTAACAGAAATATCAATCAACCTTAACTAGATAACCAGAACCTTAAATACAATGTGAAAATTTAAATGAATTGTGCTTAATAGACAATTCAATCTGTATCCAGTTACTTAAACTTTAGGGAAAAACAGTATTAGACTGCTCCATCAAGCTCCATCTATGCAATCTATATGACTCCTTCTGTATGTTCTTTTCAAAATGGTGGAAATTGAAACTTCCAGATTTTATGGACACAAGGGAGTGGTACTGTAGATAGCATGATTCTGTTGCTTAAACTCAAGTTGTTTCTTCTATTTCCAAGTCTGAACTTTGATTTAGTAGGATTTCAGAAATGCACAATAGTTTTACCCCTTCGAAAAGAAATGTAAGTACCTCGCATGTTAAACCAATGTCCATACTTCAGGAAGTAGAGGGCAGGATGAGGCAGAAATTATTTTACTCAGGACAGCTATAAGGGGCAATAGGTGGAGTAAGACCAGACATCAGAGCAGGAATTTGAAAGCTCAGAGGAGGACATATCAGCTTTTGAGGGGCCTGGCCGCGGACCGAACAGCTGTTTAATGCAGGGCTCTGATGTTTAGACATTACAATATGTAGAAGGGGAAATAAGAATGTATTCAATTTAATTCACACACACACACACACACACACACACACACACACACACACACACACACACACACACACACGAACTAAGAATTTGATTTCTTCTTTTATCCTCTCCTGTTGTTCATGTAATTAATAATATATATGTAAATAAAAGTGGACTAAATCATATGCTTTCGTACTTCATTTCACTTGAATTATCGTTTCACTTCCAATCTGAAATTCAACCTGGGCTGAAAATTTTGTTATGCATAAACAAGAAAACAGGACAACAGTGCCCGCAATCAGAGGACCACCTGTTTGGTGGTCTAAATATTAGCGCTCACATGGCGGTCCCTGAATGACATCAAACAGAAAACAGGCAACCAGGTTTTAGAAAAAAAATCAGCACACACACAACGGCCTATCTGTAGTTATAGTCAGATCAACAAGCAGATTCTTGAATAGTACAATGGTCAAAGTACCAAATGATTTCAATCTCTCTGATAATGGGACAAGAATAAAGCCTCCTGAAAAGAGAAAAGTCTCTTAAACAGCACACAACAAGGCTTCCATGAAAACATGATTCCCTTCACGGGCCAGGCCTCAATTCAACATTTAGTCTGCTTATCTTGCAGTTTATGACAGCTCCTTCTCTATAATGAAATGCAACCACAATTTCCTGAACTAACGAACTGTGGTCTGATTAGTTAGTTCCTTTTTGTAACACCTGACTTAACTTCCTGTTTTAACAGGAAATGTATTAGGTGTTGCTTTGCTTGTGTATCAGAATGAATATTTATTCTAGTAATGCTTTGCTTAATTTCTTGCACAAATGCTATCTCTTGCTTTCATGCTGATCAGTGCACATCCTGCTTCTTTAGTTGTTCAGAAAAAAAAATATCTAAAAAAAAGAAAAAGAAAAGAAAAACATTGCTATGTGTGATTTTTAATTTCTTGAGCCTCACGTTATGCAATAGCTCTTATCCATGATGGACTTTGGGTGTTGTCATTTGCCCCTTCTCAGGCTCCAAGATTATTTCTGGATGCTTCTAAACTGCATTTGTTTTTATCAAGATGTGACTAATGTATTTGTAATACAATGCATTTATTAATTCAGTTCATGACCTGATTGATACAGCTTTAACTATTAATAATGATGTAATAATGTTATATCATCATTACTTCGGTTACTCAGTAGTTATTTGCTGACAAGACCTGAACATGTAAATCATGTTCCTGAAGAGGGACTACCATTATGTAATTATTGTCACTAAATAATAAATATTATTTTTGAATTCCTTATTTATTTTGAAACTATCTTTTTTTTTTAATTGTGTTTTATTGTATTTTTATTGGCTATTATGGCACTTTTAGTCTTTTTGTGTGTACAGCGCTGAAAGCAGCTCAATTGAGCTCCACATGGAGAAATCAGCACTTTACGTCCTCTGCATTAAAACAGCTTCCTGTGGGTCTTTCTAAAGGGAACAAGCTTTGAAGATCACATCAGATATCCTACGTCTGCACCTCAGTTTCTAACCTGTGGTGCAATTTTTAGGCTTTTAAAGAACTCCATGACGGGATCTTTGGAGAGTGGGTCTGTGGAGTAGGGACAGGAATTTATTATCTGAGACTGCACACCTCGTCTTTGGATTATGTTTTTGCAGTTTTTAAAAAAATTCAGTTTTTCTTCATTGATCCTTTAAATGCAAAGCAGCAGTGAACCCTTCCAGAACTGGGATGCCAGATTCTTTCTTTATCTTTCATTTGGAAAATGCAGCAACAAACCTGTCTGCATCTATTATTGCAAAAGGCATCAGGGAACCCTTCTGCCTCTGGATGTCAGTTTTCTGCCATCTACCTATTGTTTGCAAAACAAAAAACAAACAAACAAAAAAGCTATGGGCACTTCCCTCTATCCTTCTTTCGCAAAATGCAGCAGCAAGATTTTGGGCACCGGCATCCTGACACCTGGATTCCAGCTTCACGTTCGCAAAATGCAGAAGCAAGTTTTTCTACCACTAAGACGCCAGGTTCTCACTATCTCTATCCCTCATTTGCAAATGCAGCACAAAGCTTTTTGCACTGGGATACCAAGTTCTCTCTCTTCTAACCTTCATTTGCAAAATATAGCAGCTCACTTCTCCAGCACTGGATTAGCAGCTTGTGCCATCTACTATTAAAAACAACAAAACATTATCATCACCGTGTTGCCAGTCTTCTTCTCCATATCAGTTCTTTGTCCAGGTTCTCTCTCCTCTATTGCTCCTTTGCATCATGCAGATGCAACTTCCCGGAACCGGGATGACAGTTTTTCTTCTCCTGTACTGTTAATTTGTAACACAGCAGCCTTTCCTGCCAGTTTCTACATTATTGTTTTCTTCTTTGCAGTATGCAGCAGCAAACCTGGCACCAGGGGCTGGTTTTTCTGCCATTTGACCATCATTCACCTTATGAACATTACTGGCACTGGGTTGCTGGTTCATTGCTCCACTATCCCTACTTTTCAATAAACTGCAGCAAACCTTTTCTCGTCACAGGGTTACCAGTTTCTCTGCCATCTATCCCTTCCCCAATTACATGCAGCAATGCACCTTTCTACACTGGGTCTCCAGTTCCAACATTCTCTTCTTTGCAAATGCAGCAGCAACAACTTCACACAGGGATGCCAGGGCAGCTTCCACTAACACACATCTTGTGTGTGTGTGTGCTGGAGACCAGCTGAAAATCTGAACTGGGTACCAAACCAGTCAACTAAGCATTTTGTGTGATTTGCAATAAACACTCCTCAAAGTTGTGTTGGGTCAATCACTGCAATCCAACTTATACAAACTTCAAGTCAAAAGATCGTCCAGGGACGAGTCAAGAATAAATAACACAATAGGTCAGTTTCAGCAAATCTTTATACAATTGTATTAGGGTTCGCAATACAATTGGACCACTAACAACCTTACAACCCACACAGGTACTGTTTCTAACTAAATCCACTCCAAGTAAATACGATACCACAGGGACACTCATTACATGCACTATGTGCTTCCGTGAGAAAATAATTTATACCACTGCAAATAAATTATACTAGACACAACAAGTAATTTCATCATAAACAATTGCAAGGGCAGATTCCTATGAGTTGTTAGCCCCCTACTTAGGGATTGCACATTGCCCAAACAATATTGCCCCTAGCCCAGTTGACATGAACACAAACCCAAGCATAAAATCCTTTTTAAAATACGGTCCTTTCCCTAAAACAAACTAGGGTGTAAGATCGACAACAGGAGAAAAGAAAAATGGTGACACATGTGCAGCCCATCCTGCAGGAGACGATACAGTGTTACCTGACAATATATTTTTTTCATGTTATATTCAAAGGTCAACTCGAGCTGACTCCTCTGCTTGCCAGACCACACAATTAATGAATACAATAGACATCACCAATACATTTCAACAAACTTCATTAAAAAACATTAAGTCTACACCTTGAATCTTTGATGAAGGGCAGTATGATCATAAAGTACTTAAATGGCAACCAGATCTACTCATGTTCTAAGGGCCCAGGGACCAGATCTCATGTTCTTCACACTCAAAAACTTCCCAGCATTCCAAAACCACAATTGTCTAGAGCCACACATCAGAGAATAAGAGCATCTGATTCTATGGCGTTATTTTTGTGCCACTATTCTGAGCGCACGTAAAAAAAATTTGCAGGTGCAAGTGTTGCATTTTGAGGAGAAATTTATTTTGAGCGAAGAAAAGCTGAATTTGAGTGAACAAAATTCATTGCTGCATGCAAAAAATGTATTTCAGTGTTTGCTATTATCCACACACACAATAGCAGCCCCTCTCGCTCAGTTTTTGCACTTGCGCTCGCTCGCAATGTGTCGCTCGCGCTCTCAACATTTCAGCCCGTGCGCGTTCAACTCGTTCTGTACACCGTTATATTTGTGCCACAAAACCAGCCAATCACAGACTTGGATGCAAAAAAAATCTGATTGGCTGTTTTCGTCTCCAACCAGCTCGAAATGACGAAATGCAATATCCCAGAATCCATTTCGTCCAAAACTCAAATGAGGCAGTGGCGGAGGAACACAGAGTGGCGGAGTTTGAAATATTACTCTTTGTGGGTCACAAAATAAACTTTTAAGATATTTTCATGCGAGAATGGTGCTGTGTAAACTTCTAATATCTG